CCTTCGTCTGGCCTCACTCTAATTTCTTATGATCCTTGAAAGGTCCTTACGCGTGGGCACTATGAACGTACGAGGCTTAAGTGCAAGGCGCAAACAATGTCAGCTGAACCGCCTTTTCGTTGAAAAAGATCTCAATATTGTTGCGGTACAAGAGTCAAAAATTGAGAGCGATGACCAGACGGAGTGCATGGTCCGCCTGTTTGAGTCGAGGTACAATGTGTGTGTCAGTCACGCTGTTGGTAATTCGGGGGGCTGCCTTTTGTTTCTTCGAAAATCTATCGGAAATGTCGAAAAAGTAATTAGCTGCGAGATCGGACGATTGATAGTGTGTGATTTCTTGTTTTCAAGTTACAAGTTTCGCGTATTGTGCATTTATGCTCCGAATAAGGTAGAAGATAGATTAGTTTTTTTCGAAAACATTATCCAGTATGTTACGACTGACCGCCTTGTCATTTCGCTAGACGATTTCAATTGTGTTTGTGCTCCAGGCGACCGATCTAACAGCGCAAGGTACAGAGATGCTAGCGCAGTCTTCTTGAGAGAATTGGTCCAGCTAGGCGAATTAGAAGACGTCGCCCACTGTGCGTCAAGAGCGAGCTCCTTACAGTTCACGCACTTTCAGGGAGCGAGTCACGCGCGCCTGGACAGAGCGTACGTCTCTCTGGAAATCATCGGCGCCTGCAAGTTTTATTCAGTAGATCATGTTTCTTTCAGTGACCACTGCCTTGTTTCTTTTATGCTCTGTTCACCTAGAGAATCTCCTAAAAAGTTCAATTAGGATTTATGGAAATTTAATACAAAGCTTTTAGAAGATGATCCTTTTGTAAAGGGGGTGCGTGAAAGTCTCGACGATTTCGCCAGCAGAAAAGTGGGAGGCTTCGGAGAAAAATGGGAATTATTTAAGCAAGACTTAAAAATGAGAGCACTTGAACGGTCCAGCATATTGAAACACGAAAAAGAAAAAGAAACAAAAGAGTTAAGCCAACTGCTACAAAGGTTGCTGCAGGAAGAATGTCGTATGCCCGGCTTTTTCTCTGATGACATAGTCAGTTTGAAAAAGAAACTTGAGGCTCTCGATACGGAACGGTACAAAGGGGCCATGGTGCGCGCGCGATTAAAACGGTTATAACTTGGCGAGATACCAACAAAACGAGCCCTCGGGGTAGAAAAGACGTACGCCAGTAAAAATGAGATCAGCGAAATTTTGTACCACGGAACTGTAACCAGCGATAAAGAACTAATCGAATGCGCGTTCGTAGACTGCTATAAGGGGCTTTTTAGTCTTCGTGCCCCCAATAAAGACGGGTTCCAGACACAATTTTTGCCGTTAATGCCAAAACTAGAGGACGACGTGAGGGAGAGATTAGAGCAGCCAGTAATGTTGGGGGAAATCGAAAAGGCGATCGAAAATTTAAAAATCGGAAAATCGCCCGGTCCGGATGGTTTAGGAGCGGAGGTCTACAAGGCTTTCAAAGACCAAATTGCACCTTTTTTGTATGGAGTGTTCAGGGAAGCGTACGATTTGAGTTGTTTGCCTCCATCTTTTTTGTACACGCACACCATTTTTATTCCGAAAAGTGATGATCGCGAAAAGCTACGTCTCGTTGGTTCTTATCGTCCAATTACTTTGACGAATGTTGATTATAAGATTTTCATGAAAATTCTCGCTGACAGGCTACAAAGTGTTATAGATATGATTGTCGGCCCACACCAGACGTGTGGTATCAAGGGAAGAAGTATTGTTACAAACATTCATGTTGCACGTAGTATTTTAGAATGCTGTGATAGTTTGGACCGTAAGGTGGCACTACTGCAAGTTGGTCTAGAAAAAGCTTTCGATCGCGTGTCTCACCAAATTCTTTTTTCTATCTTAAAGCACGTGAATCTGGGTTCCGTTTTATGCGATGGTGTGCAGATGGCGTATAAAAACTGCGCCACCAGCCTTGTTGTCAACAAGCGTGTCAGTGAGCGTATTAGGCTTTTTTCGTCAGTGAGACAGGGTTGTCCACTTTCGCCGTTACTCTTTTGTATTTTCATTGAACCTTTTTGCTTAAGCATTATCAATGATAGTCATCTGCGTGGGTTTAGGCTGCAAGCAACCGAAGTGCGCATTCTGTCTTACGCAGATGACGTAGCTATTTTTTGTGTCGACGAAGAAAGTGTTCGAAGAGCAGTTGAGGTAACCAAAAGCTTTTGTGAGCACACGTGTAGTGCGGTAAACTGGCACAAGTGTACCGGTTTTTGGCTCGGTAATTGGCCCTCCGTGCCGACTGTGTTTGAGGGCATTGTATGGTCCCCCACGCCGGTACGTTATCTCGGAGTGCCTTTGGAACATTATCGCACCAGCGACCAGTACTGGCACGATGAAACTGAATCTCTTCGTGCAAAGACTCTGAAATGGGGAGGGAAGTGCTTGTCCATTTTTTTCGCGTGCAACTGTGTGCAACATTTTTTTGGCTGCCAAGCTGTGGTATGTTTTGCAAGTTTTGCATTGTTCACGGATCAATATTCAGCGCATGCATCGGGTGTTTGCTGTTTTTATTTGGTGTTCGGCGTGGGAAAGATCAAGTCGATCAAATCTCTTTCGTCGAGTCAAGTCCGGCGGTCTCGGCCTTTCGCATTTGTTTATTAGACAGCTGGTCAACAGGTTCCTTTTTCTTCGAGACCAAAGAGACCCTTTTTTACGCACTGTAATTCAGGTAAGGCTGCGCAATCTGCTGCCCGAGTTTATCGTAGCGACGAACGATGAAGTCTGCTTTGGTGTTCAGGGTTATTTGAAGGAAGTTATCGAGGCCTATCGGTTTTTGGCAACACGTTTTTCCTTAGAATATTTGTCTGGCGTGTCACGCAAGCGGTTGTCGAAGGACTTGATCGAGTTGCTTTTTCCCACACCTTTGTATCGATCGCTGTACAGCGCAGGCACAGGGAAGGATGTTCTAAAAAGAGTCAAGAAAATGGTAATTCCCGCGTGCACGAAAACATTTTTTTTAAAGTTACATAGCGGATCGCTTCCTGTAAAAGCTTGGTTAGTTGAAAAGGGCATACCAGTGGCATGGTCAGAAAACTGCTTATTGTGCAAGAAGCCAGAGACCATTGAACATGTGTTCCTGGACTGCTGGGACGCAGTGTTTTTTTGGGACGTCCTTCAAAGGACTATAAAAAAAGACCTCCCTTTAACGTCCCACGGCATTCGGTTCCTGTCTGTAGAAGCTGCTTCTGTGCCTTATGATATGTTCATGCTCATGGGACTGCACAGTATATGGCGATGTCGTATGGCAGTACGTCATGCGGATATCGATGTGCGGCCAGTGTATAAGTATTTTGTAGAACACATGTGTTTCCTTAAAGAGCTGTACAGGGCGCAGCAGCCTCAACCTGAGTGGCTGCCACTTCTGGAGGATTTGTCCTCCATCAAAGACTTCTAGCTGTGACATTAGCCAGGTAGGCTGATGGTTTTACCTATTCAGTCTATCTTGATAACTATGTATGCCACCAATGTTAAACAGGAAATAAATAAAAAAAAAAAAGTGGCGTAGCATAGCGGTTAGTGTTTCCGATTTGTACGCAGCGGTCGCAAGTTCAATCCGCGGTGGTCCTGCTTTTTTTCTTTTTTTTTTCTTTTTCTCGAACATTTTGTTTTATCGAGGCATTTGGCGATATTTATGAGTGCGTATAGCTTTACTCTTATATAAATGCTGCCCCTGATGATGAAATTCCCTTGGCAGTGGCAGTCAGACGTCATCTGATGGACCATCAGATGACGTTGATGGTCCACCAGGTTCCACCAAGGCTGCTGACTGGCAGTCAGTGTCCCAAATTACGTAGCTTGATGGAATTTTCAATAGGGGTGCGCTATGCCGTACTCGTCGCTAGGCCTAAATTGTCATCGGGGCTCCGTGGATGGAGCGGCATTGCTCTTCGCCGCGCTGCCAGTGACGTACAGTACTGGGGGCCCTCTCGCTTTCGCGCTGCGGGTCAGTCCCAGACACGAACCTTTGAGGCTCTCCGGCGCGGGCCGCGGCGCCCGAACACACGTGTGCTGGGCTGTACACGTCTGTTTTTTCGTTCTTTTTTCATCGGGCGCGTAAAAGCCGAAGTCCAAAGTCCACTCGTCGAACAGTGTTCACCGACACCTTCTCCAATTACTGGTCCGTTAGAAACTTGTGAAAAAGCACCTCCGTACGTTGCGCAGCGGGTTGTTTGAGCAGCCCACAGCGCTACAGGTTGCACTCGGCATCTTTCGAGGAGCAGCGGGGCAGTCTTGGGAGCACCGAGTTGCTCGCGAAATCGAGTCTTGGAGTCCACACAAGCAAATAAACCAAAGGCTAGACCGAAGCTACACGTGCTACAGATAAAAGCAACGGCTAAACACGCCAATCACAAGCCGAAGAAGCGGTGGTAGCGGCTCAAAGAAGCGCACTCCGCACAACGCCCGTACCGGAGGAAAAAAAGAGAACGATACTGACGTCACGGCCCAATGTTGCTTTAGCAATCGGCAACCCGCTGGCCACCCGCTAAGGAGCAGCGGCTCGCGGCGGGTCGAATTTTTACCATCGGCATTAGTTGAGAATGCGGCGTCCCACGGACGTTATATTTTGGCTGGGGTCGTATTTTGTGTCACTACAGCGATATCAGTAATTTATTTAATTTTAAGTTTCGGCCGGAGTTTCCCTTTAACCTATACTCGGCATCAACTCTTTTGTGCTAGGTTGTCAAGGCTGGAGCTTCGATAGTGCTGCAGCCTCGCGCGGCTTCGAGAGCACGCGGACGCGACTGTTGCATTCGCACGCTTTTGCGCAAGAAGCTTTACAGCGGGAAACATTTCGGAGGTTACGCAAGCCTCGATAACCTATAGCACAAAGTGGGCTGGACGCAAACAAACGGCGGCAATGCCGACAATCTTTCTTTTTTCCACTACGGCTCTAGAGATGAGAATTTCCCTGCGAAACGAGAACAGAGTGCAGGAAACACGAAGAAGGGCATTGCGCGCATTCACTCACAGCTTCCTGCAGGGGAAACTTCGGCAGACATCGGACGTGGTGCTCATCTGGCAGTCAATGATCATGCTGTCCGGGGAAAAGGAGTAGTTGATCAGGTGCTTCAGCAGCTCCGGTTTCAGGGCGAAGGTCTGCTCCTGTCGTCGGGAAGTGAAGCAGGGGTCACGAGGGCGTAGAATTCGAACCAGGAGAGCGGTCAAGTTTTGTCTCAAAGGGACCATGAAGTGATATGTTGCGTCAAAGAGATTTCATAAGCTATCCCAACGAACCGAAAACCCGGAGCTTACTTTTCTCGGCATGCTATGTAATATCTCTAAATTCAGCTTAGCTTTTTAGAAAACGTCTAATGAAGGCGATGCCGAAACCAACAAATTTCGCCGTGCTTCCCAGAGAGTGACGCTCCTGGCAGGCACGAGCAGGCGGTCTATAGGGTGGTTTGCACTTTCGGCGAATAATGTCGCCGGGTGCCATGCTGATTAACTCTCGCCCTATGTCTCTCCATAAAAACATGTTTTGCGGGGTGTCAGTGTCCCGACACGTGCGAAACATGTTTTTGTATATATATTTTGTTTTTGTTAGGTGATTTATTATGGTGTCAGGAGACGACACAATCGATATTTTGCTACGGAGTCACGTATATTTTTTAATAAAGCAAAAACACTCAACCGCTCGAAACCGAAACATGTGCGCGGAGGTTCGTAGGAGAGAGTTGCCGGAAGTCACGTGGCTATCGCTCCCTACCAGTTTTTTTTTTTTGTTTCTTCGTTTTTTGGGCGCGCGACTTATGGCGCATTCACACCGGTGGTTGAGCTGCATTTGTGAAGCGGTTGCGAATGAGGTTCACGAGCGACACCGTTCACACACCTATATACGGTTGGCGGTTTCTCGGCGATCACGGGTGATCTCTTGAGACTTGCGTTCGGCAACCCTGTTTTACAATGCAAAATCTAGTTTAATCAACGACCCAAAGCCAACATTGAGCTATTTTAAAATTTTTCTTCACACTGTTTGCACGCATTATGAGTTTCGGGAGGTGAAAAAAGAGGCATAGACCCGGCAAAACCCTCCTGCGATCCCCGGCTTCGTACACAAGCAAAGCCAAGCCAGGCGTAGGCGCGCCTTGCTGACTCAGAAGAGGATGCCACCGACCCTTCCTTCGAGGTTGACCCTTCCCGCATGAATAGCTGACCTTGTCTTCGGGATAGAGGGCCAGCTTTTCCCCTGCATCGTTCGCTCTTATCATTTTCGGAGTTGTGAGCGGTACTGGTGAACCGCGGTGCGGGGAATGTGTTCGGTGCTAGCCGGTTGTGGCTTCGTTGGTGGCGGATTCTCCTCTTGTCACTCGCACCTCGATGGATTTGTACTTTTTGTTTGACATTAAGCTCAAATAAACGCCATATGGATTCTGTGCATCGTCTAGTACGTAATAGGTTCACTTTATTCCTTTTTGTAGCAGTAAACGATACAGGTCGTGCTAGCGCAGGTACCTTGGCAGCTGTGCAATAGTGTGTTGGGGCCAAGCAATTGGGCTCGCGACGTCTCTATCGGCCTTTGTGGTAATCATGAACGGTGTCGAAAGCTTTCAATAGTTCACGCGACTGCCTTAGTGGTTACGAAAGCTGCCATTTCTGTCGATCGGCGGCGGGTTCTGATATTCTACGAGCAAAGAGGGAGTTTTGGTAGATCGCTTTCGCCGTCCCGCAACGTTCTGTTCAACCAGCTACGATGCCCGGAACTCTATGCTTAGGGCCATCGGCGCGCAAACGAAGTAGCGGTGTCTTCGTTGCGGAGGGCTTAGTGGAGTGGGAAACGCGGTCTACGAGAACTCTCTGCTAACAAGCCAGAGAGCGACGGTCTTCGTCACCCCGAATGTTAAACAAACTCTTACCCGAACCAAATCACCAGAGCGAAGTCCGTTAAGATTATGGGTCAGTTCGTTTCGCGGCAAATTCAAGTGACGGACGTGAACATCACGTTTCTTCGTTGATTTGTCTGCTTCAACGCTAGGACTACAGCGCCTTGGATGCCTCATCGGCGACAGATGCCATCTTGTTTCAAAAGACACTGACGTCACGTCAACGCCGCGTTGCGATTGGTTGCCACATTGCGGTTCGCGGAAGCGGTTAGGGCAAATCGGTCCCGAAGCGGTTGGCAAAAACGCACTTTAACCGCTCGATCCCAGCTGCTTTGCGGTTGAGAACGCGCCATTAGAGATACGGCAACTGAAAACATGGAAGCGTTTGGTCACAAGGCTATGACTGGCTGGTTGTCTGGTTGGATCAAGCCGTCTATACTCTGTTTCACCCTAAGATGAACTAGGGCCCGAAGGCTGGCCGGGCGGAGTACTACTTCAGAAAAGCTTGCATCCGCAAAAAAGTGCGCGAGAGAAATATCGATAAGCAGAGTACGAAGAACACTCATCTTACCCGTATGGTTCTCTGTTGTGATAACGTTCTATTTTATATTGATGAAGCATAAACGTACCTGGTATTTAGTCTCGTAAACATTCAATGCCATATTTCGTAAGCATGTTAACTGTTTGGAGAAGTTGGAGGGCGCGCAGGCAACACTGTCATAAAGTCGTTCCACCTTAGCCCATAACAATTATATCCAATATAATCTTTGTGTACGTACCCGAACCCGTATCTCCCTACCACATGTGGTCCGCACATACGCCCCCGTGTCGACCACTCCATCCGACTCATCTTGATTTCTTAATGGCCACTGGTCCTGACCCCGGGTTTTCTTCGCCACATCGCTTCCAGAAGGTATTTAATTCCTTCGGTAGTGTTCAGTAGTAGCAAGCAAACGGAGCGGAGCCGCCGCTAAGGCTCGATAAGCAGTCGAAAAACTCGCCTCCGCATGACGCGTCTTGGCGCAATGATATACGTACGACGGAGCATACAGACCACGTGGTTTCTAACAGGCTCGTCATTGGTTTGGTCCCGGCGGCCTGTAGCATTGGGCTTTAGTCCACCGTAGGTTGAAACGGAGAATAGAGAGGATATGGCTGGCTGGATCGAGCCGTCCGAGCGGCGCCCTGCCGCTCTCCGGCTGTTGCTGTCCGTAAGTTAAATGTCCTTCTTGAGCGAGACGCAATACTCGCGATGTTTGGTATTTTCCGACCAGGGCCGGGGATGGGACTGTTGGATGCAGCACTATAAGCCGTAACTACATCCAAACAACGAAATATGGGAAATGGTGCTTGAGTATTTTCTTTTTTATTCTTAATATTGAATGTCTGCATTAGATCACCCAGGACTTCGGAAAAATTTGGTACGGCTCCATCTGAACGGCACGTGGCCATAGAAGAGACATTGAGAGCGCCTGAAATCGGCCATTTCTCGACCGGCGGTTTCCGGGTGGAAAGAATACAAATTTCAATCAAATTCAAATTCAAAAAAAAAAAAAAAAAAACTTTCAGCCTTTTCACTCTGGTGAAGAAGGAAGACCAGCGAAGCTGTACTACATGGGGACAACCTCGAAGACGACTTCTTGGACGACCTCAAGGACGACGCCTAGAGGACGACGTCGAGGACAAACTCAAGGACGATTTCTAGGACGACCTCGAGGACGACCGCAGGGACGACGCCTAAAAGACCTCAAGGATAACGTTTAGGACGACCTCTGGGACAACCTTTAAGACGACCTCAAGGACGACTTCTAGAACGACCTCGAGGACGACGTCTAGGGCGACCTCAAGGATGACTTCTAGGACGACCTCGAGTATAAGCTCTCGGAGGACCTCAAGGACGACGTCTAGGGCGACCTCAAGGACGACTTCTATGACGCTCGAGGACGGCTTCCAGGACGACGCCTAGAGAAATTCAGCCTTTCCACTCTGGTGAAAACCAGAGTGGAAAGTTTCCGCCATCTATCAGCGACGGCGGCAACCAGGCAACCAACAGTGCGGTTGTCTGGTAGCCGTTGTTGCTCATAGATGGCGGTAGCTGTCCAGAGTTTTGTGTCCACATTTTTTTGGTCCTGATGTAGAATAGCCGAGACTGTGGTAAAAGCTGGGAAACTTGGTTGATGAAAAAAGACAGGGAAAAGAACGTCTCCAACTTAGCTACTGCGTTTATTTCCTCGAAGCCTTATATATCCACAACCTAATCACCGACCACCGACGTCACAAAGTCAGCCTTTGTTATACGATTCTACCCACACTGGTCTTCACCTCAACCGTAAACGGTGACCTCAATCCCAAACTGAAAACTTGTGATCTTGAAAAAAAACAACCACAACAAAAGAAACACACTGACCACTTCCTTTCCACCCGGAGTCTGAAAGGGCTGTGCTTTATATAAACGAGAACTGAACCGCTGCCCGCAAAATGAATCATTTCATTTACAAAAAAAAAAAAAACAAAAAAACATTACATTTTAAGAAATTTCTTGGAACTACGTCCGAGTTGCACCGAAGCATGGCTGATACAATTACCGATGGATTTGATACGACCTGTCTCTCTTATGAGCCTCTTAGTGTTGTTGCGCTCTCTGTGCGCAATGTCAGTTTGCGACCAATGTGCAGTACAATCGTTGCACTCACTAATGTGTTTAGCTATCTCCGAATTGGGTGCGTTTACTTTTACATTTCTTTTGTGCTCTACCAATCTATCCTTTACACACCTTGCCGTTTGACCCACATACTTGAAACCGCATTCCAGTGTTATTTCATAGACTACACGTTCCTTGCAATCAACCAATTAATCACGGTGCGCTTTCTGACACACTTTCTGATTCGTTTGAAAAGGTGTCAAACGGTTCAGTTTAAAGTCGGACTTAAACACTGCATCGATCCCAAATTTTTTTGCGCATGCTTTAAGGTTATGAGAAATTGCGTGAAAATACGGAATAACCCCATAATGCTTTTTCGCTTCCTTTTCTGGTCGTTGTTTCTTCACTTGGACTTACCCTATCCGTCTCAAAGACAGCTATCTTGTGTTATCGTCCTAACGGCGCCCCTAGCACACCCCCGTTGCTAATGCGCCGAAAATCAACAACACACCTTTACTGCAAGTCACGACTCGCCGGTATTTGGGTGTCCTGCTAGACAATCATGTAACCTGGCTCCCCGAAGCAAACCGCCTCCTCACGCAATGTCATCACCT